TCTGAGTGCTTGTTTTTTTCATTCACAAGACTTGAACTTGAGATTTTATTTAAAAAAAACTGAACTTTTTTCATTCGGACTAACAAGTTCGTTGATATTTTAATTAATTTTTTGTATATTTCTTAATTAATAAAAGACAAAAAAGCGCCTACCACTAAAGCATAACACAGTAGTAACAAACAAGCCCTAGTAGTTCATCAAAACAGCAAGAGTGATTCTAGAGAACAAAACTGTCAAGAACAAACTGGAGTATTTAATGACAATTTGATAACTAATTGGGTTAGCTACTTACCCCATAAAAGACTTGATCGATCAGATCATTGTAAGTTCCGGCCGTCTCTCCGTTGGCATTTACAAAGGCATAGAAATCGTAGTGGACGGTATATGGCATTGCTTTCATAACGGCTTCGAAGACATCTATGGAGTAGCCTGTGGGGTTCACACTTGAATTGGGACTTGAACCCGGTGGTACGCTAACGAATTCTCTAAAATATTTCTTCACTGGAACACCAATCTTCAACCTCTTCGATTTGGGAACGGAGTGGGAATCTCCTGGCCATATGATGGTTCCAAGATTTGCCCTTGAAGTAGAATATCCCTTTACATTTGTAAAATTCAGTTTCTTAATCAGCCCATATTTGGACGTCCAAAACCCAATTGCCTTTTCACCATTTCCAATCACATTAACAATCTGGAAAACAGAGGGTTCAAGTTGCCCATTAACAAACTCAAATTTTCCACTGAGGCCTTTAAATCTCGTACTTGACAAAGCTTGGACGAGTTTGGGACCATTTTGAGAAATCCCCAAAGATTCAAGATCTGTTCTTGCATTTCCAACACCTTTTGACTCTTCAAAGCTGAAATTTGCATTGTTAAGTTTCTCAACCGCCATGGCTAGTGCAAATGCAGCATCATAAGCCCATAACCCAAAAATATCCAATTCAGAATTGACCATGCTTGGATTATTTAGCAGAAATTTCCTTTTCCATCGAACCTTAAAACTTTCCAACTCCTTTGATTTTGGAACATAATTCCTGACACCTAATACACCCTGCAATGATTCCATATCAGAATGATCCATCCAACTCCGCAGATTAGTCATCCCGTTAGTCATTATCCAAACATACCCTTCACTAATCAATCCAACCGCTTTTGCTATATCAAAAAGCCTAGACCCAAGAATTGGGGTCATATGAACTATAAAGACTCTAGTCTGCTTTGTCGTTAACTTGTGTAGCTCTTCTTCAATTTCTTGATCATTAGCCTCCGAAGAAATAACGCTCCGGTAGGGAATTCGGACATTGATCTCTTCCAAGGCATCGAACAAATAAGGTATGAATCCTTCTCCAAACTCGTTGTCTACATATATGGGCACGGCTTCTCTCCATCCAAAGGCTTGGATTATGGCACTAATAGCTTTGACTTGAGACGAATCACTATGTGTTGCTCGGAAAAAATATGGGTACCGGATGGAGGAAAGGGAAGGACTGGTTGCAGAGAAGGAGATGATGGGTACTTGAGCTTTGTTTCCGACGTTTATGATGAAGTTTGCCAGCATTGAATTCTCGGGCCCTATGATTGCTTGTACCTGTGCATTCTTGATCAAATCCAGAGCTGCCCATAAACGTATAAATCATATCAGATACTCTTCGAAAGGAAGTTGCGCTAAAATAAATTTATTTTTTTAAAATCAGAACTACTTCCACCTCGAAGATGACTGGAAATGGAAGAAGTTACATTAAAGAGATTTGTCAAACTCATAAAAATGAGCATTGAAAAATCATTTATAACAAATTTCAAGTTCAAATCATTGAGAGAAAATAGGGAACAAATTAAGAGGAAAATGAGTAATAAAGAGGCGAAAAGGTAAGTACCGGTTGCAGCCGTCCCAACAACATCTCCCTTGGAATCCCTTGTGTTTAAAACCAGCCTGGTTCTGTAGTCACTATGATTGGAATAAAAGTCAGAAAGGGCCATGTTAAAGCAGCTCAACCCTAACTTTCCCGTCCATGCTTCCAAGTCAAGAACCATACCCACATTCACTGGAATTGTTGGGGTGGCCGTATTATTTTGAGCCACAGCTACCTCCATCTTCACCAAGAACAACCTAAGAAAGACAATGAAAAGGCAGGAAAAACTGAGTGAGGGTGTAATAGGAATAAGCCCCATTTTTTTCTTTTCAGGAGTGTGGTTCTAACCAAAAGAGAGACCACCATTTATTGGGGCTTATTTCTTTTCTGGAGTGTGGTTCTCTGACCAAAAGAGATACCATCGTTTATTGACTGACGGTGATGTAGTTATCGTGTTTGAAAAGTATGTACGAACACGGTATTTGATTGAGAAAGAGTAGAATTATTTTAGTAAAATTAAGATAATCAAAATTGAGAATTTAGGTGAAATTATTTTAGTTAGATAAAATTAAAATAGTCAAATTAAATTGGTAAAATTGATAATTTATTAAATTAATTTAAAAATTATACATTATTAAAATTTAAAATCAAAGTTTTAAATTTAAAATTTATCTAAAAGTCTAATTGCTAATTAATTATTTAAAGTCCTTTTCGAACATTTTTCTATTTCATAATTATTAAATTGTTTTAAATTTTAATGGTTTTGATTAAAAAATTCATAATAAAATATTATTAATTTAACTTATAAAAAATTAATAAAACCTTAAATTTTTTTCTTAAAAACCCAAAAATACCAAATTAATGGCCAAAGATTCAAACCATTACAAAACAACCCATAAATACACAACAAGCACTACTCCACCAATGTGCTAGGGGTAATTATTAATCATATTATGATATAAAAATCTATAAAACCTTTTAAATTTGTAAAATTTTGATTTTATTTGATTTTATCTGATTTTATGATTTTATTGTACAAATTTATGGAATCCCAATTTTAACCTAAATTTCATGTGAATTACATATTTAAAATCATAAAATCATATGATTTTAGAATTAAAACACGATTTTCACAACCATGCTTTTAAGAACATCATTTAACTAACTGCTTGGCAGGAAGAGAAAGTTGCATTGAAGGGAAAATTCAATTCCGCAAGCATGGAGGTTACTCAATATTTTGATAAATTCCCAATTAATGCACCCTTTCTCTAGTCTGCTTGAATATTGTTAACCAATATCCATACATATGAGAGAGAGAGAGAGAGAGAGAGAGGACAAAAAAGAAACTGTTTTCTAATTGAATAATGATCTGGAAAGTCAAAATGCATTATGCTGAAGGAAAATAGAGCAAGTCCGGCACTAAGCGGCCTACTGGCCACTCCCTTCCGGGAAAGTGCCACGACAACAAAGACCTGGGTTCTAACTCAGACCCTACTTCCCTTACCCCGAATTTTCCAAGGTCAAAAAAAAAAAAAAAAAAAAAAAAAAAATTAGTTACAGTAAATTAGAAATAGTAGCATCTGCTGCATCCAAACAATGAAACAAGTGCATTGACCAACAATAAGAGTGTAGTTCAACTCCGCTTATTGATCTTCTCTAGAGGCAGGATCCATCCCAGTTGAAGGGCTATCAGCAAAGTATTCTTGATGCTTTACATTCACACCATCCTGCCCATTCAAGGAAACCAAAGCTTATTCCTTTTACATATAAAGAAGAGATATTAATGCAAGAAATTATAGTACACAATGCATAACATAGAACGAAATTTAGATTCCTTAAAATCTGGAAAAGTCTCAACATCTATGCCATGAGTGAGTTAAAACAGAAAGACTAAACGGAGAAAGTGATTTGCATACCAACAGAACCAGATGAAGTTGGTCTGTTTGTTCATTGTATAAATGCTTTGTCCTGGGCTGCGTGGGTGAACCCGCATGGATGGAAAGCCCGACTGCTTATGGTAAAATTAAAAACATTCCAAAGGAATCCTACCGTTTCAGATAACTTTTGAATGCAATACAACATTTATAATTGCTTATCAGAAACTAGGGTAAGATTTTGGGATCAGACCAGAGATGAGATAAAAAACTTGAATGCTTACCTCTTGGAGTGCCTTCGAGAGGGCCTCCATTGTCAAAATTAGGCGCTTATCCTGTTCCAACAAGACAATCAGACCAACCAAGACTTAAAAGGAACTAGAAAATTCAGAAAACAAACATAGGTGACACCCATTTTGCTGCTTCTCTCTTTTGTCCTTGACTACAGCAGTCTGCCTTGCCTTACAATGCCTACATTTTGATGAAAAAATTATCAAGCAAACATTACTAAGGTCAACATGAATGGATTGAAAGCTAAAGATACTAAATAATGAACAAACTACAAAAGTTAAGTTATCCATGATCAAATGTTAGAATTTATTCGGCATTTTCATGGACGTAGAGGAAGCACTAGCAAAGCCATAAAGTACAAAAAACAGTCCTCCTGAGAAACTCTACCGACTACCAGGCTTCGCCACATTCATTCAATTCTCATATTACAACCTTGGAGTTCAACTAGGAGAAATTAATTTATTAATTACTTCTAGCTCCCCATATTTTATGATTGTGTCAACTAACAGTTTCATGTTAAGAAGAACCACAACAAGTTGATGGTGAAAGAAT